TGCATAATACGAGATTTTATGTTTTATAAATATCATGCAAAAATATTACCTCCAATTATTAAAATTTTAATCCTCGGTTTTTCAAACTACATTTTTGTATTTTAAAGCAAATTTTTTTCTAAAGGGCATTATTCAACGTTGTTATACACGATTATACGTACACGCGGCGAAATGAATGTTTCATTTCTTCAATAAAATTCGAAATTTTCAACGAGTCTATGACATTCGTAATGATGAAATGATCGAATGTAAAGGTCGAAAAGTCACATCGTGTCATCGAACAATTTTCTCAAGTTCAAAGAAACGATTTGCGATTATTTATTATTATTAATTCGCTATGTGCAAACGGTACTATGTGTTACGTTACAGATACATAAGTTGTAATCACATATACGGGGCTTTGTTTGCATTTTCAACGATTAATGCACGCGATCTATGCGCGGTTTGTGCATCGCTCGCGCAAGAGAAATCGATGATAACGCGTGTCGAACTTTCGTGTTTACAACGCGGGAGAACGCTGTCTATGCAATCGCGAATATCAGCGCCGAATATTTGCATCGATGCGGGCCGCGCTCGTTACGTAATGCCCTCGAAAATATATATATACGCATGCCCAATATATCGAATATATCTAACGCGCCGATATAGTTTAACGCACGACCATCGTTAACGACTGGCGGCCGTGCAACTTGGCAATTTAACGTTCTAGGCGCGAATGCGCGTCGCGCCATACATATTCAGTGGCCCAATAATTAGGAGTTAATACACCTGAGCGGGCATTATTTCAATTTAATGCCGGCGAAATCGCGAATGTCGCGTGCCCGCGAAATCGCCATTGAGAGACCGAGCCACGTTCCCTCCCGCCCGCGTACCCCCGTGTCGTGACATTGGACGTTGCATAATTTGTGCCTTATGCGTTCGCCACTTTTGGTCTTAATTCGATAATCCCATTTACGAACGGTAACGCCAATAAAGAAAGCTTGGGGAATTATTGAATTATCGATTCGCACTTGCGGTAGTATTGTAAGTTCGAGATCTCAAGACTAGAAATCCTAATGATCAGCACCGCTAGAACCAAAATAGGAGGAATCCACGCGATGTAACACGTGTGACTGATATTTACGGTGAGCACAGGGTTTCCCTTTGAAAAAATAAAGTTAAAAATTTTAAAACCTTGTTCTTGCATGTTTCCAGACTCAGTTTGTGATTATCAGGAATCCGCGAATTGTGAAATATTTTCTTGTGTGGAGTATACCAAAGTGAGGTACTGTGTAATTTTTTCGGATAGTTTGAAACTAGTTCGACTGTTTTAGAATAACCTTGATTTAAATTTAGAAATTTAGATTTAGAAATAATAAAAAAATGAAAATCAATTCATCGGAATAGTTTTAATTAAAAAGATTAAAAATATAAATATAATTAACACAATATAATATAAATATAAATATAATTAACACAAAATAAATTATATTTATATACACTTATATTTTATTTTAAAAATGTTCAATGATAAGACTATTGAAACTCTAATTAGAAAAGAATAAAATTGAGTTTCGAGAAAATAAATAAATCCATAGGACAGCTACCTGAAATAAAGGACTGTTCTTTAGAATAAAAAATGTATGATCATCCTATAGATATTTCCAAATGAATACTAACTAATAATTTTGGATTATGTACATACGTAAATCATTTTTAATATTGCACTTATCTTATCACGTTGCTAGATATATTTTGCAAAAAGTAAATGTCTTAAATAAATAAAGAACGATTTAACCGATATTCGCCGAAGAAGCAATACGGAAAACGTATTTGCTAAAAAATATTGCATATTTGACTAAAAAAAAAAAAAAAAAAAAAGAGAGAGAGAGAGAGAGAGAGAGAGAGAGAGAGAGAGAGAGAGAGAGA